ATATACAAGACCAAATAAGGCCCAGATGCCAAGAGAGTAAACACAAGGCTGATCTACCAAGTTTGGGCAAATGTGATTCAGAGTTCCCTAATGCTACAGATTTTGCCTTGCAGGATAAACGTAGTAATTCTCTCTGTGTACACTTATTCTTGTTTAAAAAGGAAGTCTCTGTATAACCTCCATCTATCTTTGTCAGCCCCACCGCTTGTTTGTGAGGACTACACATCTGAGAAGCTCAGCCGTGAACCAAAACCACGAACAAACGGTGTCACGAGGCAGATAAGTTATGTACGCGAGACTACGGAAAAACCCAACGCACCCCCAAAAATGTATGGAATGGCCGCTTCCTGACCTGCCAGGCTGGCACTGAAGACTGTCTCAGGGCTTGAAAACCTGGTTGCAAAAAGGAAGACAGACACCTTGAAGCGGAGATTTGTGTTACGCCTTTGGTGGAAAAGTAATGAAATTCCCACGGATAATCTGCATTTGTAATCAATAACCAGGTGCAATAAAGCATGGAAACTAAATTAAACACTGTTCTACAGCAAAAATTGCTACATAAGTGACATTTATTAGTGTTCCGCTATATTTACAGTTTTAACATAGTAAAACTCCAAAGTGAATTACCACTTGGCAGAAAGCACAAAAGTGCACATTAAATCTACATTTATAACGCATCATAATCTCTGCTAACACAAATTATAAAAGCAAGAATTACAGGTATGTTAGGAATTGTCTCAAAAGTCCCAAGCCAAAGGAAAGAAAAAGGCCTTTGTTTTGCAAGGTAATTTTTTTATACAAAGTTGCAACGTGATCTTTCATTTTCACACTACCAACGTGTACCATGAAAATCCCTATATAGTCCAAAAAGTAGGTAGTATGAAAGTAAAGTATACTACAACATGGAGAATACAGACTATTAAAAAAAGTAATACTTGTGCCACCTTCAAAATAACACTCTCTCCCAACTACACCTCAAGAACCTGTACCGCACAGACCCGTTTTTCCTTTCGGCCGCAGACAGCACGGGTGCTGTTGGATTTAAGCAGCAGAAAGGTGTGCAACCACCGCCACGCCGTCACCTCGACTTTTGAGATCATCCCTTCGGGCCGTCAGCAGCGTTACGCCCGCTGTACAGGACAGACCGGAGTCCAAACCCGCTCCCAGGATGGAGGAGGAAATAAAGCAAGCCTGTCCCCTGCTGGCTCGGGGGCAGGGCTCATGCTACCGAAATCACTACAGAAACGATCTATATAAGGCTTTATTAGCACGTCACAGACTCGACTGCAATAGCTTTTTCAAACATTAGCCACTAATGATTCAATGATTACAGAATTCTGCATTAATTATTAAAATTTTACACCTAGAAACAAATAGAAAGAAATGCTTCTTTTTTTTTTTTCCAACAGTACTTTTATTTATTTTAAAGCAGGTGATTATTTTTTCTTCTGCTCCAGAGTCTTGATTCACTTCCTGCAGGTGCCCTGTTTGTTCTTGAGGGAGAATTCACTAATGCAGGAAGACATTTGCCAGAAAACATCTGTCGGAGAAGGATATTGAATATTGAAACTATAGTTAGATTGTTATTTTGGATAACAGGAGGATGTAGGTCACAAAGAGTGCAGGATGTCTAAAGGCTTATAAAGTATCTCAGTACACAATGACGTGACTCCAGCAAAACACTCAGTAGTTTTGTGCGTATTTTACAGTTCTGAAGAGTGAAAATTCCTTAGGGGAAAACAGACACCAAGTGAGACAATGCTCTTAGAAACACGGGCGTAAAAACATGCAGGTGTATGGAACTGCACCGCATTTGCACTACGAGAACAAAATGGGACTCTCTGGTCTTTAGTTGCTGCATCCACCCAGGATGATTATGACTTTTGTATCTTTCTATCAAGCGTTCTGGCGCGAAAGAGACAGCAGCTCTCACAGGCTGTCTGTTCCAGCCACGCTGGCCAGAACTATTTAAACCTGAGATCAGCACAAACCACTCGCACTTGCCATCGAGCGCAGGTCGCTGCCGAGGATCATGCCCGTTACCAGCACACGCAGAGCGAATGGTAAACACCAAGCTTTCGATTAGATTCGTTTCCACCAGTTATTATTTTCTGGTTTGCACTAATTATTCCTCTCCTCCTCCCCTCCTAATTTTCTAAAAATTATCCCTGCTCTAAAATGAAAATGATCATTCACCATGCCCTCTTCATTATGTCCTGCAGAGGAAATCTAATCTTAAGAACAGTAATACACTGAAAATCCAAGTCTTTTGTGGTTTCCCTGCTCAGAATTTAGGATTAAAGAGTTATTTTCAGGGGAAGTGTCAAAGTTGTAATATTTAGAGATTATTCTGGACATTTATCTCAATATATCTAAAAGAGAGAGTGCTTTTTGAAAGCTCTAAAATGACAAAACAAACAAACAAATAAAAATTTAAAAAAAACCCCAACCCTCTACACCTCCAGCCTCACAAGCAAGCAGTCAAGCAAGGTCTCTAAAACTGTCACTTCAAATTCCAAACATAGGAAAAGCCTGTGCAACAAGAAACCACACAATTTTTCATTTATGAAAGGAACTAAGTTTCAGTAAAGAAGCAAAATAAAAAAATTGTTCAGTGAGAACAAACTAGAGATGATAAAGCTGATGCTTAAACGCTCACACTACGTGATCATACAACTGGGGGA